TTCCATAGTGCTAAGATTTGTCAGTGAAAGAAGGTAGAATTCAGTGCAATGAGTACAGTAAGATTTATATTCACCTTTTTTTTTTAAAAAAACTAATGATGAGATACTTAAGTGACAAAATTAAGTTTTTGCATCAGGAAAAAAAACCTGGGAAATGGAGATGATGCTAGGTGACAAGAAGGAGGAGAAAAGATTAAAAAAAAAAATTGGATGAGGATTTTAGACGTGGCATGCAGTCAGCAAGGATGGAGGAACACAAGAAAAAAAAGGAGCAAGAACTGCTAGCGTAATGGTTATTAGGTAAGTGTAGCGCCTGAACTCTCCCTGAAAAAGAAAATGTGCTTATGTAGATGCTAAATAGACAATATAAATGAGGAAGAATAGAAGAATACTTATTTTCCCTTTTTACTATTCAATTAAATGTGTAATATAAACCTGCAAAGTCATGCAAAGAGATAATTAGTGCATCTGTTTTGTTTGTTAAGGTCTGAGAGGAGATCTCCCTCCAGCATAAACCTAAATCTGAAAAGGAGTGATGGGGGAAAAAAGTCATAATTACTGCTTACTTTGTAACATATCTTTTCCAAGGGAAAAATTGTCTTTTGTCATGTTAACAATTAATAAAACCACAAGAGAGATTAAAATCAGCCAACGTGTGTTAGGCAACTTCCTACGCATTTCTGAGCAGTAGGAAACAACCAATAAAGTAGAAACATCTGGTACCTACCTTGAAAGGACAACAGAACTTGCATGTGCATATGTCTCGTATTAATTTTGCATCTTAAAAACACCTATAAATACATCTAGTTCATTGCGAGTATGTCTGTGTGCTGTCAGAATCTTTAGTTATCTGTTGTTTGATATGATAGCTTATTATTGTCATATATATGTACTAATTAAGGGGGGAAAAAAGAGTGGAAAAACTTTCTTAAAGTCTTTATGTTCAAAAGTGCTTTTAAGCCCCGAGTCAGAATACCTGTCCGTTCCTCATCAGGATGCATGTCTGGTTACTCCTTAAAGTTCAGGCTTGAAACCATGTGTACAGACAAGAGGTTGAGAGGAGATGAAAAATTGATAGTTAGTTCTGGTCTACTCTGAAAGATATTCTTCTGCCCCCACACCAACAGAGACTCAAATGAACATGGGTGACCTAGGTAATACAGTGACTTATTACGGATAATCAGAATTTTTCTATCAGTAACTTTTAAAGTGGGAAATTTGATTGCTAAGAAAACATTTTTTAATGCAAAAATATATATTTCTCTTGAAACACATTATTTTTCGTGAGAAAACCAAATGCCTCAAAATACCCGTTTGAAAGGCTTCTGTGGTAAGTTGTGCAATTAAGTTTATTGTATTTTCATTCCTGTCTTTGGTTTGAAATTTCAGTCTGAGTCCTCAACCAGAAGTCCTGCAATTGTTATACAAGACCCAGAGGCAAATATGTGATATACTGTGAAAATGTAGTCTGATCAGGGAATAGCCTGTAGAGGAAGGAGTCTTGAGCCTCAAGACCCTTGAAATGTAACTCCTCTACTCCTCTACTTTTTTCCACCTCCTTTCTAGCAAAACTTCAGGGTAGAGTAATGGAAGAGAAAACTTTTCCCTATTTATATATACTCTGTGGACAGAGAGGGTGAAGAACACTGGTAACCTACACTTTCCTTTGAAATCAAATTACTGGATTACATGAGAGGTAAGTGGGTGGTAAAACTATGTGGGAGATGTGATTTTGATGAGATCCTTTTGAAAGACCTTTCCTACTGAAAGGGTAATGAGAAAGAGTTCCCTAGGAGAAGGATAGAGAAAATACAAGTAATTGGTGAAGACTAAAGGACTTTGGAAACTCCATGGATGAATAAGAGTAGCAAAGAAAGAGGTGCAGGGGGAAGGAACGGCCTTGAGGTGGAAAAAAGCTTGAGAAGCAAGAGGGTGAGAAATTTGAAAAAAATAACAAGAATTTGAGGCTGATTAAAAGAAAATTAATTAGGGAACAGTTGAATGGAAGAGACCCCATAGCAGCTTTGTTTTTGAAAGATACTTGTTTCCTTTGGGACATCTTTCTCACTGTGGTGGGTGGAGGAGAAGGCAGGAGAAAGGAGAAGAATTGGCGTTGTGGCAAACCAAGGATTGGTGGAATTGAACAGCTGTGGATTTGAATTTCTCTAGCTTTTTTTCAGGACAGAGTGTAAAGGGCTTAGACACTAGAAATCCATAAACTAATCCAGAAAAGCAGTTATTTCCTTTGTGTGCTGTGTTCTCTGTACGTTTATTACTGGCTTCCTTGGTTGTACTCTGTTTTCCATGAAGTTTCTTTGGAAGTGTGGGTGAGTCATGAATGATTTTTTAATGTGCCAATTAACTGTTAAACTTTATTTTTCTTGGTCTCCCTGTGGACTCTTAGCAGGAAGTTTTAATTATGAACACTGTAGGAGTGATACGGCTCCGTGGGTCACTAAGTTTGGGTCTCCTTCACTATTTTGAAACTTCCACTTAAAAAAAAAAATAACCTTGAATGCAATTCTCTTCCTCATATCATACCCTTCTAACTTCATTTATCAATTATTTCCTGCTCTCCTAAGAAGACTGGTTCACCTTCAAGGCAACTATCTGCTGCTTTGTAAGACATGCACCTTGTCATCTTACCCATGCAGCATAAAATCGTGCATACTGGTGCATACATGCTGCCACCTCTTAAGAACAGGCTTATCAATTGAGCAGTCATTTGAATCCCTCCCAAAAAGCACTGCTTATTTGGGTGGAGGGAATTCCCCGGTACTGCTTTCTCCTAACAAACGGTGTCTCAGTTCTGCCTGTGCAGCTTTCGCACCACAAGGAAGTCCCCTTCTGCTTTTGACATCCAGGATCCCTGGCTGCATGTGACCAAGCTCTGAAAGCCAGAAAGCAAGGGTCAGACTGCAGAGCAGGAAGAATCAGAAGTGAAAGAGTATATGCAGCTGATAACTCAAAATGTGGTTGAAATGGTGTGCTCAAACCGCAACAAAGAACCTGGCAAAAAAATTGGCATTGGAGAAGAATTTGGAGGGGGTTTTGTTTTGGTTGGGTTTTTTTTTTTTTTAATGTGTACTTAGAATTGCAAATTTTTCCCAGTCTGACTGGCATGAAATTCTTTCAAGGAACAGTTTTTTCAAAATGAGTGCTTGTTTGCTTTTTTGTTGGTGTTTTTTTACCATTCAGATTAACTTTAAATGCAAGAAACTGTTTTCATAAAATGATGATGAAGTTAGTCTGAGAGCCCATAAACACAATGCTCATTAAATCTATCACAGTGATTTCAGACTGCTCAGGCATACCTAGGATTAAGCCTTTGAAACGTGAGGAGAGATTTCAGGTCAAAGCAAATTCTTACAGTTGTGTTATGAGCCATTAACAACAATAATAAAGCATATTGTTAATCCAAACAAGTTTAGGAGAGCAGGGTAACACAGTTTCTTTCTTTCAGTATGACCTTTCAAACTGATTTTTCACTCTTCTCTCCCTTTTCTGTTTTTTTCGGAACTTCACCAGAGCAGAACTTGAATTAAAGTGACAGATAACATGCATCTTTCTGAAGTACCTTGCTATCATATAACCTTTGATAAATATAGGTCCTTGGTTTGACTTTTGTGAAGTCACATGACTTTTAATTCCTCTCTCTTACTGAAGGTGCAATGGTTAAAAGGCTAAAAGTCAAAGTGGAAGCAATAAACCTCTCCATAAAACTTCTTTAAGCTTACAGATGGATCTATCCTGAGGTCTTTAGGAATACTTAATACAAAAAATTCCACTGAGGCATTGAGCCATAAAAATTAGGTATTTTTGCACAATTCCTTTGTAGACACTAAATATAATTAATTGAGCAGATTCTTACTGGAAAACCAAAGGAACTCTGAAAGTGAATGAAACTTGACAAATAACAGCATTTTCAAGACAGTTTTGTGCAAAGAATTTATTCTTTCACGACAAAGGGCCATAAAGAGCATCCTTTTCTTTAGTATGATAAATTATATTTCTGTAATAATAATAATAAAAAAATTACAATGCTATGTTCCTTTAAGTTACGTTGCCAAATAAGTGCTAATTATTCCCATTGCCATTGTCTGAACATCCCGAGCCATTTACAACAGAAATGGAAAAGCTGCTTGAATAAATGTTCTGTGTTTAAATCACTTCCACGTAGCCTGAGAAGGTAGTTAAAAAGACAAAAAGAGTCCTTTTTTTTTGTGGGTATGCTTATAGACTATATTTCCCTTTGCAGTAAACTCAGAAGTTTGTGTGTTCAATGGAAGATAATTTGACAAACACCGCAATAAAGATTTGTCAGAGGTTGATATATAAAATATTTTAGTTAAGTTTCATTCAGACTGTGAATACAATATGGTTACCTGGAGTACAGTCACAATCAGAAATCTTAAAACATCATGTCATAGGTGCACAATTTCACTGGGAAGCATGCTATAAGATTATAAGGAGGAATATGTTGGCTTCAAGGAGCACAGGTACACCAGATGATACCAATGAAGAAAATCTGGGTAAAGTCAGCAAACTTGCTTATTCTATTGTGAATTCCTGAGTAACTCTAATCACAAAGTAGTAAACTACTGGCACGCTATCCCAGTGGCATTCATCAGGTAGATAAATACACCCATCTTGTTGATATCTGCACATTTCTAGTAGTGATTGGCAAGGTTCTCAATAACTGTGTGTGCATGGTTTGAAGCAGAGTTTGTATTAATTATAATGCGCACAAATACATCTGGGGAAAGGATTTACTCTCCACACAAATGCACAGAAACATAATCTCTTAACCACCCTGCATCTGGAGTGCCACCTAAAAGCTTTAGGAAAAAATGTTTTTAGAAGCCATTCTGCTCTCACAATAACTGTTAGCTAAAATCTTGAGCTCAGCATGCTAAGAAGTAACTAAACATACTTAAACTAAATTGCTGTAATTTGATAGGAAAAGCAACAGAGCAGGAAATCCATAAATTAGTACAGAGTTATCTAAATGAGTAACTTTCATCATCGTATTCAAGCTCATCTTCCTCATCATCCTCCAAAAGTCCGTATTTAAATTTGCGATAGACTGTGCCATCCTGGCCCATATATACAATGTCATCTTCTTCATCATCATCTTCATTATCTCGATCTTTGTACTCAATCACTTGATCTTCTTGGTAACTGGGACTCTCATAATAGTTGCTCACATAGGAAGGAAAGGTTTTGGAGTGATTTGTCAGCTTCTCATACCCACCTTTATTGACAGCCTGGGTTTTGGCTTTTGATTTTCTCCAGATGAATACAATGGCACCAATGATAAGGAGAAGCAAAATGCAGGTAATAACAAAGAAAGTAGTTTTGCTTTTCCTCTCTGGTGTTAGAGTGGTCCGTAATACACAGTCATCTACAACAGCAGTTAAAAAAAAAAAGATTAAATGAGCTTGTGTGTGTGGGTATGGTGGGGGGTATTTGTCTTAAAAGACCCAGTACAATGTTTAGGCCTGCTTACGTTTTTAAATGCATTCGACCTTACTCTTCCAGTACCACAACTGTGTTCTTGTAGCTGTGATGGTATAAGATGTAGGCAAAGTTGCTGGGATAGCTACGCTTCTTTATTAGATTAGAAATAATCAAAAAGAGGCAGAAAAGCTAACAGGCACACAAATGCATTTTGACAGGGTGAGCTTAAAATGCAATGATTCAGATGGCTATCCATTGAAGCAAGCACTTCCCAGTTACCTGGTTTATTAAATGCCTGGGCATTTAACACAGTAGCTGCGCATGAAAGAAGGTGCCGTCTCCCGCATCAGTCGCGATCGCTGTTATTTGTGTAAAGCCCTTCCTATTCTGCTGATGGAGCAGTACACTGTGATCGTGCACACTGTATGCCTGCAGTTCAGCAGTGCATTTTTGCTCTGTTCCCCTTTTGATTTTTAAATGCCAGCCTAGTCAGTCGTAAAGCCCTTCAGCACCATTACTGCTCTTCAGCATGGTCCTACCTTGTGTTTCACTGCAGTCACAGCACTCTGGGGTGCCTGCTAGGTCCGAGTTGCCGCAGCAGGGCAGGCAGCGGCTTTCTTCCAGGTAGAGCTGCATGCTGGCTGGGCAGATGGTGCAGTTGAGAGGCCCAGGTCCCTTGCACTCCGTGCATGAGCTGTCACATCTCTCACACTTGGGCTCGTCCTCCTTCAGACACAGAACACAAGCAATACACCTTTCATTTTGGATTCTTTGGACCTGACCTGTCAGTTCTGTCCTGTGTGTATTCTTGGAAAAAAAAGGCAGCTGAGAGAATGAATTTCCTTTCTAACTTGGGAAGGAGCAGAAATAAGGAATAAAGCTGACTGGAAATTTTCTGGCAAACCAGACTTTTATTAGACTGTGTTGGTTCTGTTTTGCAGAAACAGTTTAAATTCAAATACGCTTCTCAAATGCCAGATAGGCTCTACCAGATAGGAGCCAGATAGGCTCCTCAAATACCAGATAGGGAGCCTCTGTGTACAAAGACTACCAGAGATCGTCATTGCCACATCTACCTTGCAGAATGCTCTGAGCTCAGGTAATTCAAGACTTCCTGGGTTCACAGTTCCTGGCCTATTGGGAAAAAATTGCTATTTTCCTGCCATGGTACCAGGACCCCATACCCACTGTGAGGATCTGGAAACTCCAACAACCTTTCATCAGATTTGCTGTCCAACCTGTGAGGCTGGTTGTCCTGAATCGAAGAACCTGGGCAAGGTGAGAGGGTCATAGCGGGAGGTCCAGTTTCTCAGAGTCAAAGCTCGTACAAAGAACTGTGGACTTCTGTGGTCCCCAGCTCTGAGGCTGTTTTCTCAGGCTCACAGTTACGGAGCAGCACTGCGAAGGGGATATTCCAGGCCAGAGACTGCAGGGTGTGCAGCATCTCAGGCCAGCTGGCTTGCCTTGCCGCTATATCCTTGAACAAACATCTTTGGAAGGCAGTTGGTGTGGAAATCTGGAAGCTGGAGTGCCCAGGCTTGTGGCACAGACCCAAACCTAATTGTGGTCCTACTCTACTAAATATACAGCTCTGTTAACTTCAGCCTGTCTCTCCACTCGAGATTTCTGCCAGCAAAGCTGTCAATCAGGAATGCGGCATGATTTCTTACAGACAAAGCAGCAGAAATCTGTGGGGAAATCTCAGTTATACTGGAAGAAAAAAAAATGCTGTATTACTAATATAGCTGATTTTGTTCGCATGACTTTGGTATCATCGTTGACAAAGCTGTGCCTTCATATTTACAGGTAGAGGATTACTCTACAGTAGACAACCCCAGAAAGAGAAACAATGGTTCCTCTGCCAAGAGAAGAAAAAAGTAAACGTATTTAAAGATAAGCAGCCTTGAAAACTCAGAGAAGAGCATTCTGTTTTGTTTGATTGTGTTCAGAATTTGAAGTTCAGCATACGAATCACAGGAGAAATTGCCTACAAACAGGTACCTCTTGTCCTGGTGTCCCCTGGACTTTGTATTCACCTACAAAACAGTCCGAGTTGCACATTCCACTTAATAAACTGTAGCTCCATACACAAGATGTGCAGCTGAATGCTCCCTTCCCTAGAAAGGCAAATAAACCAACAATACTAAAACAGGAAAAATTGTCATCTAACTTCCTTTAAAAATTATACTGACCACTGCCACCAAAGAAAAGGGTATTTGTCAACAGCAAGAATCAGCGGTGAGGAGTCCAGCATGAGGAGGTTGGTATTAGAAAGAGCTTGGGCCTGGTCTTGAGGTTTTATGTGCCCACAAAGTGTGTTTCTTATGCATTTTGATATTCATAAAAAGCTGATTTGGGAATCAGTTGTACAGGGAAGTTCCGACACATTCAGAAAAATCAATTAGGTCAGCGCACTGAAGCGAAATTGTGGGAAACCTTGGCCAAATGCTCTCCTTCACAAAATCAATACTTATTAGACCTGCTAACTAACCCTTTTCAAACCACAATGAATTAGGGTATGTTTATGTTTGAATAGCAAAATAAATTCTTTAGTTGCATAGGAAAAAAGTTCTTCGCTAGGTGCAAACAGAGCATCATATGCACTTTGTGTGTTGGAGACTCTTTTTGAAGACAGATGCTACATGCAGTATTTCTGTGAAACATTGAAATGAAGGGTTTGTCCTACGTCTTAAGATGCACCTGTCCATTTCCCTGCAACTAGGCATTTTCTGCCATTGTCTGAAAGGAAGAAAATGGAAATGCAAGTAGTTTGCGTTAGAAGCAGTTAAACAGGTGAAGTTAGCAACCTTCTATAATCCAGTGAATTTACTACGTGATTTTTCTGAGCAGTGCAGGGTTTGTCTTCCTGCTCTTGAGAAACAAGAGACACCACAACATTTCTTTGCTCGTACATCAGCAATACAGACACATTTCAGAACTCCTACAGGTTTACTGTTTAGAAGGACTGGCTTGTGTTTCATCTTAGAGTCTCTGTAATTACGATAGAAAATCTGTCCTGCAGTATTTATCCCAAATAAAGTAAAAATCAATGGAAGTAGTCTGTAAATTAAAATGGCTTTTTGTCCCAAATCCAAGCCAAAATATTTCTGTTACTTTTAATAATTTTGTTATACAATTACATTTTAATAGTTCTTGTAGGTGGGTTCACTCTAAGGGTTATTTCCACAATTTTGAATATTGTTATGTTGCAATTAGTCATCTGTGCTATCCGGTATATCCAGTATATCCACTATCCAAAACAAATTTTGCATGTTACAATATGGTGTGGTCTAAGCTGCGGAGTGGCACCTGTTAGCCATCATCTGATGCTGTTCAGATAGAATAGGGGGCACCAAATAGTCCAAGGGGATTAATGCTGCTTGCTTCAGAATTGGATGAATTAGGAAAGAGAAGAAACTGGATACATAAGTGTGTCACAGAACAAAACAGGTGGTCTCTCAAACCTAACTTTGAAAAATACTTAACTATATGAAAAGCAGCGGGCAACACAGCTTTTTTTTTTTTTTTTGCTATTCGCCCTAAAGGTATGCTTTATGGCCTTATTGTTATCTTAAGTGTCGTTAGCTATCGATTTTCTACTCTTCCCTTTGCAGATTGTAAAGATGTGTGGTTGGATTTAGGTTCCTTGGCTTTCACAGGGTAACACATAGTAGGACAGCTCTAAGAGTGAGAGAGTCAGTCATTAATTCAGTCATTATTCAGTGTTTGTGTGAGAAACGAGGTCCAGCTCTGTAACCAACAGAGCCCTTTTCTTCTAAGTTGGTGAGCATCCTTGTGAGAGGCCTGGCTGACGGAAACTTCGTTAGCATTGTCAGTTGTTTCCCTTCACTGACTCGGCTCCGGGACAGCCCCAGCCCTCCCCGCGCGCGGCTGCCTTCGCGCCTGCGCTCTGCGGCTGGAGGCAGCCCGTGGGGAGCTTGGCAGGAATTCATATCCTTGCTTTGATCTTGATCAATCAACGCTCTTAAAGTAAGGTAGCAGCATGCAGCAGCCAGCGCAGCAAGTCACCCAGGGCCAGGGAGAGCCCGGCAGCCCCGGGCCAGGGGAGTTCTGCATCACCCACTGCAGCTACTTAGGTCATGGACAGGCTGGTAGTGCCGTACATGGTACATCTCTTTGTGAAGCGTTTGGAGCAGAGGGTCAAAAGAAAAACAGAGACGGCAGGTGTTTTGATAATCCTTGGCAGGTGTTTTGATAACCCTTTTTTTGGTCAAAGCGGAGCATATGCTTTTACCTTCACAAGTCCGGCAGGAAGGGTGGCATCTTTCGCAGACGTTGTTGTCCTTGCTTTCGTAGTAATACTCAGGACAAGAGCTAACGCATTCGTTCTTGGAGCGCAACAGGTACAAATATGTATCGCAGAAAAGGCAGTCTGTGGGTTGAGGCCCCATACACTCCTTACAGCCCTTGTGGCATCTCTCACATGATCCAGTGGAGTTTTGTGCAAAATACCTGAAACAGGTCAGATAGTCACGGCTTTGCATAAAGACTAGCAGTGGCAGGAAAACCAAAACATCCTTCATCCTTAGCTTTTACTGTGATTACACCAATGTATAAAAGTGATATTGATGTGATCACAATAAGCATTTGCAATCTCAGTGAAAACAGAATTAATTTCCTTTAATTCCGCTTAGCCATTGGAATTCAGCTATAAAGCAAGACTTTGTAAATTGAGGGCGTATAAAGCAAGATTTTCTAAAACCTAGGGTGAATTCAGACACAAAGTAAGTATATAAATAGGCAGGGCTCAGAAAACCTCAGCTCTGTTTTGGCTCTGCAAGAGATATCCTCAAGACATTGGGTAAGCACTGAATTTCTCACTGCTCCTGATGACCTGCTGTCAGATGGAAATTCAGAAATTTCATATTTCCTTTAGTGCACAAAGGCTTAGCCAAAGGATACCAGCACAGGAACAGTGTTCACCCAAGTTGTGCTGTCAGAGAAAAAGAAGAATAGCTGCACTGTGGGTTTGTTGAGATCTGGTCATTACAGACTTTCAATTTTACAAGATGGTAGCTGAACTTAGCAGCCAGCGTGATCATGCTGTACTGCAAAATGAAATGGACCTGAACCAGAAATCATAGGTTCACTTCCCAGATTTGGATTTCTGAGACATATTTACAAGAGCACACTGAATTAATATTTTGAAATTAAATGGAATCATATTAATGAAGTCGCTGTCTAGAATTATGAGTCCTCAGTTGAAAGGCATTTTAACGGTTGGTTTTATTATGATCCATTATAGACATTCACTCAATGCAAAAAAAAGTAACCTCATCTGAACTTCAGGTTAAGTGGAGGCTGCAAGGGGGCTTGAAAGAAGTGACACTGCTTCCTGTGCTCAAGCTGACTAACAGATAACCTAATATATTTATTTTGCTTCACACTCTTCTGTATAAACATAACCTAAGAGCACCCTTGGAGCGTGAGAATGGCCACACCACATCAACCTGGTGGTCCCAATCTGGGCACCAACTTTAAAGTTTTTTACAGTGAGGGGAGGTTTTCCACCATCGCTGTACTGGGACAACCTAAGAATTTTTCACCTGAAAATAGAATTCAGTTCTATTTCACTCTGAAGTAGAATAGGGCAGAGCAATCCAATTTCTCAAAGCTCTCCCGGTGATGTAGCTCTTAGCTAAAGATCTTGGACCTTACCCTGATGGACACTGGTTTAGGCATCCTTTTCCTTGTCTGTACCAGCCCGGTTTGCAGGAAAGGCACTGCGAGCTGTGTTTCCCAGTGCAAGTGACACAGGCACTGTGGCATGGGGAACATTGTCGCTCATCGCTGTCAGCGTAATACCCATCTGGGCATGTTTCAACACAAGTTGTATCTGCACAGGCAACAATGCAGAATAACACATTATATTCAGTATTAACTGCTGTAAAACATCTTATACAGCTATGCTAGAGCAAACTTTCTAACAGGAGATGCTGTTAGAGCGTGAACTAGAACAAGAAAAGAGAATGTTGGAATATAGTAATTATTTTTTGTTTCTTCTAAGTCTTATCAGTTCATTAGTCCTCATTTCTGCATTTTATGTACATTAGCAGGCTCTTCAGAACAGATAATTTCTTATCTTTGGGAAATACAAATGCAGAATACATAATAATGAACAGCAGCTGTGATTTCTTTCAGAATATAAAAAAAAAGAAATAGTAAATACAAATGCATAATACATAATAATGAACAGCAGCTGTGATTTCTTTCAGAATATACAAAAGACGAAATAGTAATTAGGAAACTTTCTATCTGCATTGCCATTTTCCTTAGGTTTCACTCTAAGCATCAAACTCATCGCATTCTGTGTATATGACAGATCTGATGGTAAATTTGAGATTTAATGACATTTGTTCATTGGTCCTTACCACTGTCTGTGGCTGCTGCTTTATGTTATGGGAATAAATACCTGTAATGCTGCCAGATGCACCAGGTACATCCCACTTTTTCACTGAAATTTCAGAGGGTCGTTAGAATAGGAATCTTGAATGAGAAGTTAGGACTGATGCAACTAACTGCAAGTGCATCAAGCTAAGAGAGCAGTGATGGCTCATTAGTAGCTTGTACTCATTATCTAGCCTGTCTTTATAGTTTTGCTGCTCGGGTTGCAGCTGGGCAAAGGAAGATAATTCCCCTTATTTCTATTTTTCTTGCAATTCTTTCTCCACTCCAGGATGTTTATTTACGTACTTCCATCAACTTTACCAATTGTAATGGTGCAAAGCAGCTGAGTGTTGATAAAAAAGACGGGTCTGATGCAAGACCTCTGAAAGTTAAGAATGCAAAATCTGCATCACAATTAGACTCAAAAAGCTCGGGTTCAGTTTTAATTCAAACTCTTTTCAGATTTCTCCTGCATGAAAGATCATTTTAATCATTTTTTCTCCCAATTATTTTCTAAAATTTTTGTTTGCTTTTTAAAGAATATGCAAAGAAGTAAAGTTTAAGTTCTGGGATTTTATATTGTTTACTAATTTGTTTCTGAGACAATACAGTCTTCTACTCCGAAGTCAGAAAAGTAGTTTTGTACCTCAGACATCCACTAGATACTGACCTAATGATCCATAAACAACTTTTTAACAGCTCTGCTTAAGTATTTCTTTGCTCATCAGATCTCTGCAGGGATTAAACAAGCTAGCATGAAAATGTGAGCTCTTTGTGCGTACATTTAAAAAAAAAAAAAAGCTGAGAATATCCCTCTTGTCTTTTTAAGGTCTTTGTAGGAAACAACAGGAACAGTATATACCAAGTAAATGAAACATACAAGTTTTGTTTAGCCATGGAGTTTGCTGCTGCTTAGAAGTCCTGCTTTGGCCCCTCTCACAAAGAGTTTCCAGGTAGCCCCGCAGAAGTATGTATCCCTGCACAAGTTATCTACTTGTCAGGTCAACTTTGCAATATTTAGATTGGCTGAAGCAGCCCTAGATGCTTCATAAAAGTGACAGAAACTTGTCTATTTCACGCTTTCAATGTAGAACGTAATCTAGAGTCAGGAGCAAGACACTTACTGAGCAGATAGCGGTTATTCGCACAGCTAAGACACAGGTGTTCGGTGGGTCCTGAGCAGTGGAAGCATTTCTTATGACAAGGCTTGCAGGTCTGAGTTTTCTCAACGTAGTACTCGGTGCGAGAGCAGTATCCAGATGCCACACAGTGCCCATCATGGTTCAGCATGAGGCCATTTCTGCAAGTAAGGCAGGCAGTGGAAGAAGAACAAGTCTGGCATGTCCTATTGCATGCTGAAATGGACAAACAGTAGGAACGTCACCATTTCCTGTTGCATTTCAGATTATTATTTCAGCTTTAATTTTGCAAGAAGCAGCCGTCATCTCAGGATGAGAGGCTGAGGGAAACAGCAATAGCTCTGCTTCTGCATAGTAAAACATTTACTATTTTCAATCTTACGCAGCCGGTTCCTTAGGTTTCCTTTTGCACTGTTACTGCTTTTGCTGAGCAGTGTCTTTCAGCATGGTGTCTCCAGCAATACTTAGCACTTTACCAGAGTGGTTGCCCATAATATTAAACACATCTAGCTTTGCTATCTCCCTCTCAGCTTTCTCCAATTTTTGCTGTTTTAAGCTATGCTTTGTTATTTTTCTGCATTAGCCATCTTCTCCAATTTCAGGACTCTGACAGCGACATTAGCCGGCACACACAGGCCCTTTTGGGATAGTTTTTAACCAGACCCACTTCTATCTCAATACCGTTCTGGGGAAAACAACAGCTGCCAACCTTGGCAGTCTTCAGTTTCTTCTTCATAGTAAGTCCCTTCAGGGCACTCTTCAAAACACATGCCACTGTAGAGGACAAAGAAGTCGATGGCACACTCAGTGCAGTCGTCCGAGTCCGGCCCGTCACAATCCTTGCAGTCTGCATGGCAGGGAAAGCAGTGCTTGTCTTCAGCATAGAAGTGAGAAGGGCAGTCCTGCACACACTTCCCCTCGTGCAGGAAGAACTCGTCCATGCACTCTACGTAGAACAGCAAACAACAGGTAAGCAAACAGGCAGCAAATTCTGACTTCTGTAAGTGAGGGAGTGAAGAAATCAGAAGAAACCATAAATCCTGCAGTGACTGTCATAACAGGAGGTAAGAGGAAGGTAGTGCTTTTCCATCTCTTTCCCCTCCAAACTGCCCAACCCTCCCACAACATCTTCTGTGCTACATCAAGAGACTGAGAAGCCAAGTCACCTGTTCAGCTTTGTTGGTATTAACCAAACCATGCTGCCACTGAATATAGGTGAACTTCTGCTGATTTATTATATCTGCATTATGAACTTCCTGCAAAATGAGGGATGTCCACATCTGAAGTTTTGTTTGGTTTATTATTAAAATATGAGTCTGGCTGGAATATATGGACCTGAATATTTGTCTTTGCACAGAGCTGTGATTCAGCTGCTAATTTTATTATGAGTACTTGGTTTAATAGCTTTATGATTTTTTTTTCATTTCATCCATATTTATGCTTCCAGAATGGGTTGTTCAATATTAACTATCCTGGAAATTTTTGTGGAGGCATTCAGACTCACCAGGATATCCAAGGCTTTCCTAATATGTTTCATTACAGAGATTTCATTCTCCACATGAGTAGTCATTTGCAAAAATGGTAAAGAGATGTAAAGTTCAACCAAACTAGCAAAGAAACATTCCGTATTTCACATTGGTGTAAATGTGTATGCAAGTTTTTAGGCGTGGATACAATAGAATCAAACCAGTAGGAATCTCCAAAGGACAACAGGAACAGGCAAAACAATGTGAAATCTTTACAGATTAACGGTTTAGACTGAGTCTCATCATAAAGCACTGATTGCTTAGCCTCTACCTTAGAGGTTAGCAAATATATATACATCCCTTTTTAAATTTTTCTTCATCACAGAATTTCTTTTCAGATCTGTGTTTCTGTCAGTCTGTCTCTACACGGATCCAGATGGATTTTAGCCAAATCAAGACCATTTCTTTCTAATACCTTTGCATATTTGATTGTGAATGCACTCCTGACACATTTCAGGACAGTGTTTGCAGATTCCTTCAGAGGCAAAATGCTTCTCTGAACAGGTAGGTTTACATTTCCACTGCTCCAGAAGCAAAGGACTTTTACAGGACAGGCATTTGGTTGCATTTCCCATGCATGTCTTACAGGATCCACTGCATTCCTTGCAAGTCTCAGAATCATTAAAATATCCCCTATTGAATGAAAACAAACACAAAGCAAACTGCCGGTCAATGTATAGTTATCAAATAGTCCAGGCTATAAGAATATATGAGACTTTCCCAGCACACACATTTCACTGGATCAAACAGGTTTCTCACACAATTTGTTGCCCATCCTCCACTTACATCCCCTCTGTCTGCGAGCAGAAAATGTGCATGGTTAGTGCTGTGAAGGGAGTTTGGCCTTCCTTTGTTCTTGTACCTACTTTAAGGGATCTTGGACTTTCTTTCTTGCTCATTTCTTGATTTTCCCCTTACATAAGATCTATAACGTTTGGGAAAAAAAAGATGCAATCTTGCACAGCTGATTCTCAACAGCAATATCAGGGAAAGACAGAGAAGTATAACCTCAATGGCCCTAGAGGGGACAAAGAGAAGAGAAAACCCTGAAAGTGTGAAAGCTGGGAAGAATAAGGAGGGCTGGTATTAAAAAAACCCCAACAAAACCAGGATGCTTAAGTAGTACCTGCGTTTAGTGACAGCAAGCTGGAGTCGGTGAAGAGGGAGCATGTTTTGCTGGTATGTGGTGTGAGAGCAACCGTAGACAACCATGGTTGGGACTATTAGTCATAAAGAAAACACAGCAAGAAATTTCACCTATATTTCAGGAGAAGAGGGATAAAAGGAGAGGCTGGATGCAATCCAATCTGCCTACACTCTCAAAACCAAAATGTTAGAAGGTTAAAGGACAAGCAAGTCTACATTTTGAGATTATTGCTAATCCATATGTATACAGCCATTGATTAATACTATGGAAGCAGTTGACACAGAAAGTAGTCCCAGGACATGTACTTCACAGTAACAAGCTCATTCTTCCTTGTAGAGGGGGGGAGATGATCTTTCCAAAGAAAGGCTGAGGAGATGCTGTAGGAGCAAGGTTAGAGAAAAGATAAGAAGAGCTGTGCCTGCCATCTATTCTTGTCTTCTTTTTTTCTCCTAACCTTTGTCATGATCCTGCATCTATTTCTCATGGTCCTGTCTTCTTCTCTTGTTCCAGTCTTGAGTACTCTGCCAGCTCAGTCTTTCAAAATCCTCTGTCAGAAATTATCAGTGCAACAAGTCAACCCTTTCCATCCCCTACAGCATGACCCAAAACTAAAAAAAAACCAACAAAAAAAATCTCATATAATCCTCTGCTCCAGTGGAGAGTAGTTATGCCTCAAGAACTTTGCCTCAGAGGCTGAAACCAGAGTTTAACGCTGCTGAATGATGTCTGGGAAGCCATTATTTATAGTCTGGAATTTGGGAAAAAAGGGAATAATAACAGCTGAAAAGACTAGTGATACATGAAAAGGTTTAATTTTGTTATACTGACCCTGTGTGGGATAACTGAGGGGAATGAGTACTGAGAACAGACATATTAATGCCAAAACCTTATCTTCGCTTGTATGCCGTGATTTCTGATATTAAATGTTGTTTCTGGAATAGGGTAGGCTTTAGTGCAATTACTTCGCATTTACTGTGACATTTGATGATCAGAATCTGTTCCACTGGCCGTTATTGACTTATTTGACAAAGTTAGCAGGAAAGTACTGCCAGGGAATTTGTACTGAGAAAATAAGAAGGCAGGAGCTGCACATCTTTCTAAAGAAAAAGGTTAATTGAGCAAGATCTTCATAGCACAGATTTTATGTGTATATAGATGTATGATGAATGCTGATGGAAAAATCACAGAAACAGGAGAACCTGATCTACTCAAGTGCCTGATTTAATATCCATTGCAGTCAAACGGGAATCTTTCTTTTTGAATTACATTTGTTACAGGAAAATGTAGAATATAAGCCAAAGAGAGAAACACATCACTAAGCACTATACTTCCATAGCAGGACTTTAGTACATCCACTTTCTGGGTTCACACCCCTGCTCTGTACTACTTTGAGGAAGGAACAAGTTAGGGGAATGACTAGAGGCTTATTTTCAGTCACTACAAAGAACCATTTTGAAATACCATGAAGTCAATACTATTGAAGTCAATGGGAGCTGCACCATCTGTTATAGGATTTCACGTCTAGTTTCACTTTTGATTTTTCACTTTTTCTTTAAGCAGGAGAAAATGCTGTTTATTCAGGCCAGCTGAAAATGACTTTTACCTTGCAGTAGTTTCTGGTAGCTTAGGTTACATTAAGGTCTCCCTTGAAAGGTCTATAATGGATCCGAACTTTAAAGAGAAGGAGTACAGTGAGAAAATGAGGAGCAGTCATCCAGCAGGAGTTACTTACTCAGGGCATT